CTCACAAGCGCTTTTGAGCAGTTGATTATACTGGAAACAAGCGCTATACAAGTGTATATTTATTATTTATTATTATTAAGTTGATATAAAACATCACAGGTACAGGTGAACGCACACGTCTCTTCCTGGCGTGTGATTCAGCAGTTGTGTGAAACTATACCTATCCTTAAAAGCAAAGTGAAAAATTTAGTGTTATCAATTCAAGACCAGGAACAGTGTTTCTGCAAACCCTATGTTGTTCAGTTGAAGGTATGTAATTGAAACTTTGTACAAATTGTTAGAATTGATTGACTTATAAGTAATATTTCTCATCCATTGAGCATTTGATATTTCATTTCTTGCAGAGAATAGTCTTAATTTTGACCTGCTTGTATACTGCAGAATTATATTCATATGCAGACATGTACAATGAGCTAGAAAAGGTGAGCTGTATTTCATACATTCTGTTTACCCTTTACCTGCTGGAGTAGAGAAATACTCAGTTGAAATTCAATACACATTCCAATCTCAGAGAGTTATGTTTGTTGCAGAATTACGGAAATCGGAAATGACCTTGTTTTGTGGAAGCATGACCCATATCGAATTCATGTAAGTTGGCTGTGTAACGATATCTTGCAGGCTTTGTAAATAATTAATCTTTGCCGCAGGTACCATTAACCTTTATTTTTACTTAATTTTCACTAGTGAGTTTAAGCTTTTGATGGGTAGTATATCTTAGATTGAAAAAATTGCGATCCGCTGGAGTGTAGCGCCAAAACACAACTTTGAGGCGAGATAACCAACTTTCGACCCCACTTTAACGTAGACGGTTGCGTTTGGGTGAATATTTTCAACTTCAGTAACTGACATTCCAATCTGCGTGACTCACCAGGCTAAACCTTCCATTCATATTTACATATGTTTGTACTTCTTTTCAAACCAATTGATTTAAACAATATGTTATTTCCAATGAAGCTATATATACAAGGTTTGAACATTGATATTACATATAAAAGGAAATAGACTGCTGCATTTCTAGGTTGGAATTCTGATGGAATATAACGTTAGAAGTGTTGAATGCTTACAAGTTACACTAACAACTAGTCTCTGAAATGAACATATTTTACTGGAAAAAGTTCATAGTAAAAAAAATGTAATGAAAAGGAGCCCTGAGACTTTCTTCATTTTCAGAAGCTGAGGAAATCTAGACTTGCCACATTTTATAGACTTGCGTGGGCCTTCTTGGATATATTTGCTTCAGGGTCTGTACGACAGACTAGCTTACAAGTGTTAACAAATAAGATGTACTACTTAATGAACATATTACTTATGGTACCAAGCACTTATTGAAAGCGGTTAGAATCAGCTATGAATTTATAGACATGAGCAACATTCCACCCATTTCAGCTTTAATAGCAATATCCTATTCAAATTTGCTTGGTTCCTATTCATAACATTTCAATACACATTCCCATTAGCATGGGTAATCTCGTTGTATAAAGACGTCACTTAACTCTTTACCGGCTGGTATAGAACCATAGTGTAGGCTATCATTGTATACAATAGGGTTAAGGGTTCAAAGGACAGCTCCTGGAATTTATGGAATGTGCTCCTGAAAACTCCTTGGGTATGTAGGAGCGCTCCTTGAAATATGCTATTGTTCTCCCCTGGAATGTTATTGTTCTCCTTAGGAATGCTATTGTTCTCCTTAGGAATGCTATTGTTCTCCTTAGGAATGCTATTGTTCTCCTTAGGAATGCTATATATGCTACTGCGATAGCTAAAACTATGGCATGATCGTGGCAAAATATTAAACATTTTTCTATTTTTTTGTTGATGTTTCACAGGCGCGAGCTTTTTATATGTTATGACAGTAGATTACTGTTTATATAATTTCATTTGTCTGTTTTACCACACGTTCTTCTTACCGAGTCACTTTCTCAGTTCGATACTTAAAAGCAAAGTCATAATTTAGCGTTGACAGAATTCCTAACTGTGATATAGATATGTCGTTGTCACAGACAAAACTCAGTGTCTGTCTTATTGACACCTATGTGTCTGCCTGGCTGTCTGCTAATGACAATATTCAATACACAACTTCGATCACTGACCACATGCAATTTGAACACCTATCAGGCTATACACCATAAACAAAACGCATTGATTTATGGCCCGAGTTCGGTCTCTGTCACATTATGTAATTACACTGACAGGCGGGTGTGATACTTGTACACATGACATGTTATGATGTCTGTTGATTGCAAATTATTATACACAAAAAATGAGCATGAATTTACAAAACCCAACATCTCTATATACACACACACAATGAACCGTGAGGGCATCGGCAAATGAAACAGCCGTTACACTTGAGTGCACACCCACACGCTCCGACTGGGTTCGGTATCCCGGCTGCTTTGTTTCTAGGGAAGTAAACCCAAGTTCAAAATATTGCATTTTTGATTTGCGATTGTACGCTTATAATTTTTTTTATATGATTTTTTCATAATCAGCAATGTATATTATACAGTACAACCAGAAATTATTGAGAATTTAGAGATTGTATTTTTTTTTTTCACTCATTACTCACGTATTAAATGTAAATATTAGCAGAACATAACTCTTTGTCAAGTCACCATGGGCAGCAATGCAGGCTTCAATGCGGCTGGGCATACTACTGAAGAAGTTAGAAAGTCGTGGTCCATGCTTGGTCCCAATTAAAATGTCTATGCTGTAAGCACCAGTTCAACCTTCGCTCCTTTTGTTCAGGTTTCATGATCGGTGATGGAATTCCTCGACTTTTCTGCCAACCCATTGCATGCAGCTCAGTTCTAATTATCTGCTTACAGACAGCCACAGTTCCTCTATCAATCATATCCAGCCTTAAGTTTTCTAAACTCCTTCGTTTGTTTTTAGCAAACAAGAATACCAAGCCGCCTCCTATCACCGACAGTCAATTTTCTGGGCCTACCTGCGCCTCCCTGGTGCTCAATGCCATATCTATTGGCAATATTTTTCAAAACACGATAAACAGTGGACAAAGGGATGCCTGTTCTACTTGAAATCACTTTAGCGGATCTGATGTCCTTGTTATAATACTCTAAAATCAACTTACTCTTCTCTAAATCATCCATACTGAGGATCACAAAGGGGCATAACTCTTCACAAACTAATGAAAAAAGTATTAACGGAGTTGTCTCTCTTGAATGAAACCAAGCACTTGATAGCTGGTCAAGGTTGTCTATACTACAAATCCAAATAAACATATTCCTAAAATTCTCAATCATTTCTGGTCATACTATTTGTCATGAATAAGTGATAATTGTGTTTTAATTATGTTTGATTTTTTGGTTGCATGTGACCTTTAATATTTTGCCACGATTATCAAGATGCCTCACGATCATTGAGATTTATTGCGATCACCACGATTTCGACCTGCGATCTCTCACACTTCAAAAGATGAGTTAAACAAAATTCCGAATCGTGACCACCGTGGCCTAATCATGGCATGGTGTAAACGTAGCAGTATATCGTAGTGTAAACGGCAGTTAATCGTAGCTTATCGGGATACATCGGGAGAAAGTCGTAGCAGGAATCGGATGGGATCGGCTCCTTACCGTAACCTATTCGTAGGAGAACCTTATCTTAATAACCGTAATAGGAACCGTAGGTATACTCATGTATAAAATAGAAGTATAAACAAAATGTCCCCGATTACAGCTGATTCAGTCGTAGGTAGCTAATCGGGAGGGATCGGGACTTTCGCCAGCCCATTCGTAACAACTCGCCTCTTTCCGTGCCGGAATGACACGAGTAGTTATGAATGACACCAGCCATCGTAGTCCAGTGAAATGGGGGCATTACTTTGAGTTGACAATCCACTTTATACATCACAGTCACAGTTGTAGCAAGTTGGATTTCAAGTAAAGGATTTCAACCGCAGCACGACTAAAAGTAACGAAAATGGTGCGTCGTAATTTGACCATAGGTCATCACTATGGAGTAGCCAATCACAGGCCAGGATCTAATCTCATACATATGTCTGATAAAAATCATCTTTCATAGTTTTTTCATCCACACAATCAGGGACCTTCTCATACTTTCTATACTGTTAGTCGTACTGTGTGCACCAATATCCCTTCTTTGTACACCATTTCCCTACATTGTACACCACTATCCCTTCTTGGTACACCACTAGCCCTTCTTGGTACACCACTATCCCTTCTTGGTACACCACTATCCCTTCTTGGTACACCACTATCCCTTCTTGCTACACCCTTTCCAAATATTGTACACCACTATACAAATATTGTACACCCTTTCCCTACATTGTACACCACTATTCCTTCTTTGTACACCCTTTCCCGACATTGTACACCACTATCCCTTCTTGGTACACCACTAGCCCTTCTTTGTACACCACTATCCCTTCTTGGTACACCACTATCCCTTCTTTGTACACCACTATCCCTACATTGTACACCACTATCCCTTCTTTGTACACCACTATCCCTACATTGTACACCACTATCCCTTCCTTGTACACCACTATCCCTTCTTTGTACACCACTATCTATTCTTTGTACAACACTATCCCTACATTGTACACCACTATCCCTCCTTGGTACACCACTATCCCTACATTGTACACCACTATCCCTTCCTTGTACACCACTATCCCTTCTTTGTACACCACTATCCCTACATTGTACACCACTATCCCTCCTTGGTACACCACTATCCCTTCTTTGTACACCACTATCCCTCCTTGGTACACCACTATCCATTCTTTGTACATCACTGTACCTTCTTGGTACACCCTTTCCCTACATTGTACACCACCATCCCTTCTTTGTACACCCTTTCCCTACATTGTATACCACTATCCCTTCTTTGTACACCCTTTCCCTATATTGTACACCACTATCCCTCCTTGGTACACCACTATCCCTTCTTGGTACACCCTTTCCCTACATTGTACTCCACTATCCCTTCTTTGTACACCCTTTCCCTATATTGTACACCACTATCCCTTCTTTGTACACCACTATCCCTTCTTTGTACACCACTATCCCTCCTTGGTACACCACTATCCCTTCTTGGTACACCCTTTCCCTACATTGTACACCACTATCCCTTCTTTGTACACCCTTTCCCGACATTGTACACCACTATCCCTTCTTTGTACACCACTATCCTTCTTTGTACACCACTATCCCTCCTTGGTACACCCTTTCCCTATATTGTACACCACCTTCTTGGTATCCATCCTTTGTATACCACTATCCCTTCTTTGTACACCATTATCCCTTCTTGGTACACCACTATCCCTTCTTGGTACACCACTATACCTTCTTGGCACACCCTTTCCCTATATTGTTCACCAATATCCCTCCTTTGTACACCACTATCCCTTCTTGGTACACCCGTTCCCTACATTGTACACCACTATCCCTCCTTGGTACACCACTATCCCTTCTTTGTACACCACTATACCTTCTTGGTACACCCTTTCCAAATATTGTACACCACTATCTCTCCTTTATACACCACTATCCCTTCTTGGTACACCCTTTCCCTACATTGTACACCACTATCCATCCTTTGTATACCACTATCCCTTCTTTGTACACCATTATCCCTTCTTGGTACACCACTATCCCTTCTAGGTACACCACTTTCCCTTCTTTGTACACCACTATCCCTTCTTGGTACACCACTATCCCTTCTTTGTACACCACTATCCCTTCTTGGTACACAACTATCTGATACAAATCATCTTTCTTAGTTTTTTCATCCACATAATCAGGGACCTTCTCCTACTTTGTATACTGTTAGTCATACTGTTTGCACCACTATCCCTTCTGTCTACACCCTTTCCCTACATTGTACACAACCATCCCTTCTTTGGACACCACTATCCCTTCTTGGTACACCACTATCTGATACAAATCCTCTTTCATAGTTTTTTCATCCACACAATCAGGGACTTTCTCCTCCTTTTTATACTGTTAGTTATACTGTGTGCACTACTATCCCTTCTTGGTACACCCATTCCCTACATTGTACACCACTATCCCTTCTTGGTACACCACTATCCCTTCTTTGTACATCACTATCCCTTCTTGGTACACCACTATCCCTTCTTCTACACCACTATCCCTTCTTGGCACACCACCATCCCTTCTTGGTATACCTGTTCCCAGCACATTGTACACCACCATCCCTTCTTTGTACACCACCATCCCCTTGTACACCACTATCCCTTCTACACCACCATCCCGTCTGGCACCACCACTATCCCTTCTGGTACCACCACTATCCCTTCTTTGCACACCACCATCCTTCTTTTGTACACCCTTTCCCCTACATACTTAAACCACTATCCTTCTGTACACCACTATCCCTTCTTGGCACACCTGTTCCCTACATTTCACCACCACTATCCCTTCTTGTTACACCACTATCCCCTGGTACACACCACTGTCCCCTCCTGGTACACCACTTATTCCTTCTTGGCACACCACTATCCTTTCTTGTACACCACTGTCCCTTCTTTGCACACCACTATCCCTTCTTGTACACCACTAATCACTTCTTCTACACCACTATCCCTTCTTGGCACACCACTATCCCTTCTTTTGTACACACCACTATCCCTTCTTGTACCACTATCCCTTCTTGGTACACCACTTCCATCCCTTCTTTTGTACACCACCATCCCTTCTTTGTACACCACTATCCCTTCTTGCACACCACCATCCCCTCGTTGTGCACCACTTTTACTTGGTTACCACCACTATCCTTCTTGTACACCACTCCATCATCCCCTTCTTGCACACCACCCTCCCTGTTCCCTACCACCATTGTCACCTCCTTACACCACCATCCTTCTTATCCACCACGTCCCCTGCACAACACCACCATCCCTCTTCTCTACACCACCATCCCTTCTTGCCACCACCATCCCTTCTTGGTACACCACCATCCCTTCTTGCACCATCCCTCACCGTCCCCTTCTTTTGTACACCACCATCCCTTGTACACCACCATCCCTCTTCTTGTTACACCACCACTATTCCCTGGTACATTCCCCACACACTTCATCCCTTCTTTACACCACCATCCCTTCTTGTAAAACCACCATCTTTTTCCACCATCCCTCTTGCACAACCACTCATCCCTTCTTACAACCACCATCCCTTCTGTATACACCACCGTCCCTCCTTGGCACACCACCATCCCTTCTTGTAATAACCACATCCACCATCCTTCCTGCTTCACCACCATATCCCTTCCTTGTACACCACCATCCCTTCTTGTAATACAACCACCATCCCTTCTTTGCACACCACCATCCTTCTGCACATCCCACTATCCTGTTCCCCTGCCACCAGCACACCTTTCGTGGCCACCACTATCCCTCTTGTACACCACTATCCCTTCTTGCACACCACCATCCCTTCTACACCACCACCAATAACCACCTTCTGCACACCTCACCACCATCCCTTCTTCCGGCACACCACCATCCCTTCTTGCACACCCGTTCCCCTGCATCACCACTCATCCCTTCTGTACACCACCCATCCCTCTTGCACACCACCATCCTTCACATTGCACCACCACCATCCCTCACCACCATTCTTATGCACCACCATCCCTTCTTGGCCACCACTCATCCCTGGTACACAACCTTTGCACACCACCATCCCTTGTACACCCCTTTTCTCCACACAACTCATCCCTCTCCTTAACCATCCGTTCTTGCATACCCTGCACTCCCACCATCCCTTCACACCACTCCCATTCATCCCTTCCTTGCAGCCACCACCATCCCTTCTTTACACCACCATCCCTCTGCTACACCACCATCCCCTTCTTGTACACCACCATTCACCATCCCTTCTTGTGTACACCACTATCCCTTCATTGTACACCAATTCATCCCCACCGCCATCACTTTAGCCACCACTATCCCTTCTTGTACACCACCATCCCTATTGCACACCACCATCCCCATTCTTGTACACCACTTTCCCTTATTGCAAACCACTATCCCCTTGCACACCACCACCTTCTTCTGGTACACCACTTTCCCTACTGTACACCACCATCCTTCCCTTTGTACACCACCATCCCTCCTTGCAATTCACCTCCCCACCATCCCTTCTGGCACACACCACCATCCCTACTTGTACCACCACCTATCCCCCTGCACACACCACCATCCCTGCGCACTTGTTCCTGCATTGTACACCACCATCCATTCTGTACACCACTTATCCCTCCTTGTAACCTTCCCCCAGGCCTGCACACCACCATCCATCCTTTGCCACCACCATCCCTTCTTGTACACCACCATCCCTTCTTGTTACACCACCATCCCTTCTGCCACACCCTTTCCCCACATTCACCACCATCCCTTGTTCACCACCAATCTTTGCACACCCGTTCCCTATTGCACACCACCATCCCTCCTTGCACACCACCATTTCTTTACACCACCATACCTTCTTGCACACCCTTCCTTCATTGTACACCACCATCCCCTTCTACCACCATCCATCCCTTCTCCACACACCATCGTACCCAGTGCACCATCCATCCTTGTATACCACTAGTCATCCCTTCTTGCACACCACCATCCCTTCTTGGTACAATCTCACCATCCCTTCTTTGTACCACCTCACTTGCTGTACACCACCATCCCTTTGTACACCACCATCCCTTCTTGCACACCACTTTCCACAACTACTGATACAACCATCTTTCATCCATACATCGACTTCTCCTACTTTATACCGTTACCGCACCGTTTGCAACCACCATCCCTTCTGTTCCCGCCACACCCTTTCCCTTTTCATTGTACACCACCATCCCTTCTTGCACACCACCATCCCTTCTTGCACACCACCATCTGATACCAAAACTTTCATACCTTCATCCACACCAATCCCTTTCTGGCCTCCTTTATCCCTTACCGTACCACCACTATCCCTTCTTTGCACACCACCATCCCTCTTTGTACACCACCATCCCTTCTTGGTACACCACCATCCCTTCCTTTGTACACCACCATCCCTTTCTTGCACACCACCATCCCTTTCATGGCCACCACCATCCCTTCTTGCACACCTTCATCATTGTACATCCACCATCCCCTTCGCACACCACCATCCCTTCTGCACACCACCATCCCCCTTGTACACCACCATCCCTACCATTGTACACCACCATCCCTTCTTGCACACCACTTCCCCCTTGTGCACCACCATCCCCTTTGCACACCACTCATCCCTTCTGCACACTACCAAACCACTATCCCTTCTGTGCACCACTATCACCCCTTTCTTACATACACCCTCATCCATTCTGCACCACCATCCCTTCTTTGTACATCCACCACCATCCCTTCTTGTACACCACCATCCCCTTATCACCACTATCCCCAGTACACAACTATTCCCTATCATTGCCACACCACTATCCCTTTTGTACACCACCATCCCTTCTACTGTACACCACCATCCCTTCTGGCACAATCTTTGTACACCCATCCCTTCTTTGTACACCACCATCCCTTCGGGTACAACCACCTCATCCCATTGCACACCACCATCCCTTCTTGTACACCACCATCCCTTCTTTGTACACCACCATCCCATCTTTTTAAACACCACCATCCCTTCTCTTGTGCACCACTATCCCTTCATCTTGCACCAACCATCCCTTCTTTGCACACCACCATCCCTTTTGGTACACCACCCTTTCCCTATCCTTGTGCACCACCATCCCTTCTGCACACCACCATCCCTTCTTGTACACCACTATCCCTTCTTGTACACCACCATTCCTTCTTGCACACCACCATCCCTCTTGCACACCACTATCCCTTCTTGTACACCACTATCCCTTCTTTGTACACCACCATCCCTCTTCTTACACCACTCATCCCTTCTTGTGCACCACTATCCCTTGTACACACCACCATCCTTCTTTGTACACCACTATCCCTTCTTGGTACACCACGCTATCCTTCTCACCACCACCATCCCTTCTTTGTACACCACTATCCCTTCTTGGTACACCACTATTATCCCAACTTTGTTACACCACTATCCCTTCTTGCCACACCACTATCCCTTCTTGTACACCACTCATCCCTCCCTTGTACACCACTCATCCCTTCTCTTGTACACCATTATCCCTCACCTTGTACACCACTCATCCCTCTTTGTACACCACTATCCCTTCTTTGTACACCACCATCCCTTCTTTCTACACCACTATCCCTTCTTGCACACCACCATCCCCTTCTTGTATACCCGTTCCCCACCATTGTTCACACCACTCATCCCTTCTTTGTACAACCATCCCTTCTTTGTACACCACTCATCCCTTCTTCTACACCACTATCCCGTCATTGTACACCACTATCCCTTCTGGTACACCACCATCCCCTTCTTTGCACACCACTATCCCTTCTTTGCACACCCTTTCCCCATACTGTACACCACCATCCCTTCTGCACACCACCGTCCCTTCTCGGCACACCTGTTCCCTTCTCTTGTACACCACTATCCCTTCTTACACCACGTCCTTCTACATTCTACACACCACTCATCCCTCCTTGTACACCACCATCCCTTCTTTACACCCGTTCCTTCATTGTACACCACCATCCCTTCTTGTACACCACTATCCCTTCTTGTACACCACTGTCCCTTCTTGGTACACCACCATCCCTCCTTGGTACACCCTGTTCCCTACATTGTACACCACTATCCCTTCTGGCACACCACTATCCTTTCTGTTGGCACACCACACCACTCATCCTTTCTTGCACACCACCATCCCTCGTTTGCAGACCACCATCCCTTCTTGGTACCACCACTATCCCTCTCTTGTACACCACCATCCTTTGCACACCACTCATCCCTTCTTGGTAGACCACTATCCCTTCTTGGTACACCACTATCCTTTCTTGGTACACCACTATCCCTTCTTGGTACACCACTATCCCTTCTTTGTACATCACTATCCCTTCTTTGTACACCACTATCCCTTCTTGGTACACCACTATCTGATACAAATCATCTTTCATAGTTTTTTCATCCACACAATCAGGGACTTTCTCCTCCTTTGTATACTGTTAGTCATACTGTGTGCACTACTATCCCTTCTTGGTACACCCGTTCCCTACATTGTACACCACTATCCCTTCTTGGTACACCACTATCCCTTCTTTGTACACCACTATCCCTTCTTCTACACCACTATCCCGTCTTGGCACACCACTATCCCTTCTTGGTACACCCGTTCCCTACATTGTACACCACTATCCCTTCTTTGTACACCCTTTCCCTACTTTGTACACCACTATCCCTTCTTGGTACACCACTATCCCTTCTTGGTACACCCGTTCCCTACATTATACACCACTATCCCTCCTTGGTACTCTACTATCCCTTCTTTGTACACCCGTTCCCTACATTGTACACCACTATCCCTTCTTGATACATCACTATCCCTTCTTGGTACACCACTATACCTTCTTGGTATACCACTATCCCTCCTTGGTACACCACTATCCCTTCTTGGTACGCCCGTTCCCTACATTGTACACCACTATCCCTTCTTGGTACACCACTATCCCTTCTTTGTACACCACTATCCTTTCTTGGTACACCACTATCCCTTCTTGGTACACCCGTTCCCTACATTGTACACCACTATCCCTTCTTGGTACACCACTATCCCTTCTTGGTACACAAACATCCCAACTTTGTACTCCAATATTCCAACACGTCCAATCCCGGAACCATTGTCCTTTGTCATTAAAAGACCATATCGTGGATATAGTTTAATCTCTATCGTCAGACTCTTGTCGAAGCTGAAAGCAAATATCAGCAGAATCTGACCGAGAAAACAATGTATGAAATGTTGCACCTCATCGATAACAGCCATGACAAGTTTTGGGATGAGCTATTTTTGAAGGAACTAAACTTGGACACAAAATGTGCTCCTAAGCTGATGCGTTTCCTTATGCTCATGAATATGTATTTTCCTCCAGTCTTAGGTGGTATTGGTCTCGCGGAATCATACAAACGCTTTAAGCAGAGACTTATTATCAGGATGTGTTTTGTCTTTCCTATTTAGCTTTTGTATGTCAATAACTTTGTTCTTAATATTTTTACCTTGTTTTGACAGTTATTCAATACTCAAACTGAATGTAGATGCTGTATACATATCATATCGCCCTGAAACTGCCAAAGAGAGGGAGCTGAAGTATATATCCTTGTTTCTCATTTGGATGATGTTTTTTGTTCTGATAATTAGATTTTTGTCCCGAGAGACCGACAACAACGTTTGTTAGGTTATCTTTGATGGTATTTCTAACTGACTGTTCAAACGAGCTTCAATGGTATCATTGTTTTGTTGGCTTGCAAGTTGGATTAATTCCAGTATGATGTTATTTGAATTTGTTCTGTGTGTTATTTTGAATGAATTTTTCCCAGTAACATGTGGCCGTACTGATGCCCACACTGTATATGACAGTTGCCGTAGTTAAGTAGACATACCGCGGAGTAATATGATGACGTGTAATAATCTCTCTCTCTCTCTCTCTCTCTCTCTCTCTCTCTCTCTCTCTCTCTCTCTCTCTCTCTCTCTCTCTCACACACACACACAATTTAAGATGAGTCTCTGTGATCTCTCTCTCTCTCTCTCTCTATTCTTTTAAGATGAGTCATTTCTAAAACACTTCATTACGATTTTCTCGTACATAAAAAACGAAAGCTATCCCTTTGTAATTTTCTCATTCTGCGAAGACCGCAACCCACGATCAGTATTTCTAAGTTCTAAGAAAAGCCCTACTTTCGTTTTCTGTTCCTGGTACTCATTTCATACAAACAAGTGGGCTTTATGTACAACCTGACGCTTATTGATTTACCGTGTGTCTCAGATACAGGAGTCGGACCTGCAGTGTGCTCGAGTGGACTAATATTCATAAGTGGGCGTGGCTAATATCACCACGTGGCACCAGTTCCTATCGCACTGGGTCTCATTGGAGCGGTGAAGTGTATCGACGTTCCACCGACTGGTGATCACAGCATACAACAACATTGTATACGTCGCGCTGGCATTATCTAGCCAGAGGGAGCGAAGGTTTGTGATCTACATTTACAATGAGAAACGGTGTATGTGGTAACCGCCATTGCTTGATTTCACGTTTGGTTTTTGGTTTTGTTTGTTTGTCGTTTAACGTCGCGCATTGGAGTTACACCGCGGCGCACATTCGTCACCACTCGCCCCTTTCCGTAACGAATGTGCGGCGCTATGTCAATTCCGTGGGACACCCGCCTCTTGCAAGCATAGGACATGTGTCAACCAGTCAGCGAGTCTGACCACCCCATTCATCCTGTTAGTCGTCTCTTACGACAAGCATGGGTTACTGACGAGATAACCCCCCATTACCCCTACATGACACTCCCCCTACAGTTTATAACAACATAATTTGCGGTCTGTTGCACTGTTTACCCCCTGCCTGTTACCTATTCCATACAATGGACTAATCCACTTAAGAGACATAACAACACACAGCTATAAGGCTGAGAGAATGATTTTAATGAAGGTTGATATCATCATTTGTCATCATCAACATATTAAGGATTAACAATAATTTGTCATCATGATTAATTCATGAACATTAACAATTAATTGTTAACATTCAATGTACATTGTACAGTATTGTATAGTACAGTGTTGATACCCATAGTACAGTGTTGATACTCATAGTACAGTGTTGATACCATAGTACAGTGTTGATACCATAGTACAGTGTTGATACCCATAGTGCAGTGTTGATACCCATAGTACAGTGTTGATACCCATAGTACAGTGTTGATACCATAGTACAGTGTTGATACCCATAGTACAGTGTTGATACCCATAGTACAGTGTTGATACCCTTAGTACAGTGTTGATACCCTTAGTACAGTGTTGATACCCATAGTACAGTGTTGATACCCATAGTACAGTGTTGATACCCATAGTACAGTGTTGATATCATAGTACAGTGTTGATACCCTTAGTACAGTGTTGATACCCATAGTACAGTGTTGATACCATAGTACAGTGTTGATACCCATAGTACAGTGTTGATACCCATAGTAGTGTTGATACCTATAGTACAGTGTTGATACCCATAGTACAGTGTTGATACCCATGGTACAGTGTTGATACCCATAGTACAGTGTTGATACCATAGTACAGTGTTGATACCCATAGTACAGTGTTGATACCCATAGTACAGTGTTGATACCATAGTACAGTGTTGATACCCATAGTACAGTGTTGATACCCATAGTACAGTGTTGGTACCATAGTACAGTGTTGATACCCATAGTACAGTGTTGATGCCATAGTACAGTGTTGATACCCATAGTACAGTGTTGATACCCATGGTACAGTGTTGATACCCATAGTACAGTGTTGATACCATAGTACAGTGTTGATACCCATAGTACAGTGTTAATCCCCTTTAGTACAGTGTTGATACCCATAGTACAGTGTTGATACCCATAGTACAGTGTTGATACCATAGTACAGTGTTGATACCCATGGTACAGTGTTGATCCCCTATAATACAGTGTTGATACCATAGTACAGTGTTGATACCCATAGTACAGTGTTGATACCAAACCCCTTAAATAGAAATATGTTTTTTGTCTTAATTCCGTGTATTTATTGTATGTGAAGAAATAATGCACAGGATTTTCGACTGGATGTCCACATGAGCACGAGGGGCTGTCGATGATGTCTATCAAACCTATCAGCATTCAAATCAAATCAGTTTAGATAAAAATAATAGTTTTGTTATATTGTGTTAATATCGAGTTTTTGAATCGGGATAAAGTATCAATATTTTGAATTTTAGAACTTAGGGAATTCCATAGTTTTATTGTATCAAGTAGAAATGATCTGGCATATCTCGTCAGTAAGATGAAAGATTTATAGATAATTTCTAAACTTTTACGCGATAATCGATATTTTAAACTTCTTGAGCATTTAATCAGTGGGCTAACTTTCTTTTCATAGAGTTTATGTGAATATCCCAGTAACAGTAATTTTGAAGGGTTAAGATGCTTATGATAATCTACGTCTTGAAGTATCACACCGTTCATTGTAAGATCAGGTTTAATGCTTCTATTTAGTTTTCTACTGAACTGTATTGAATTTGTTTTGTTAGGATTGAATGAAACCTTCCATTCTTTGGCCCAATTTGAAATTCCTAATACGTCCTTATTTAAACAGTCTGCAGCTATGTCAGGATCATCAATTATAACGTATAGAGACGTGTCGTCTAATGTTACTAGCAATATCATCTACAATATAATTAATATATATAATGAACATTAGGGGTCCTAAGACTGGGGTCTCAATATTACTGTGTATCTTTAATCATGGCACTAAAACAACTTAATTTCAACATTTAACAACCTACACACTATCTAATTTGTAAAATTGTTCTACTCACTAGAGTTTATCTTTCATCATGAAACTAATAAAATTTTAGCTAATCCCAAATTTCCTTGACACAAGACACTAAACAACAGATTAATCCCTCACTTCATCTCATCTGTATACTCTATGCACTAATCCCTCCCTTGATCTCATCTGTATACTCTATGCACTAACCCCTCCCTAGATCTCATCTGTATACTCTATGCACTAATCCCTCCCTTGATCTCATCTGTATACTCTATGCACTAACCCTTCCCTAGATCTCATCTGTATACTCTATGCACTAATCCCTCCCTTGATCTCATCTGTATACTCTATGCACTAACCCCTCCCTAGATCTCATCTGTATACTCTATGCACTAATCCCTCCCTTGATCTCATCTGTATACTCTATGCACTAACCCTTCCCTAGATCTCATCTGTATACTCTATGCCCTAATCCCTCCCTTGATCTCATCTGTATACTCTATGCACTAATCCCTCCCTTGATCTCATTTGTATACTCTATGCACTAACCCCTCCCTTGTTCTCATCTGTATACTCTATGCACTAACCCCTCCCTTGATCTGATCTGTATACTCTATGCACTAATCCCTCCCTTGATCTCATCTGTATACTCTGTGCACTAATCCCTCCCTTGATCTCATCTGCATACTCTATGCACTAACCCCTCCCTTGATCTCATCTGTATACTCTATGCACTAACCCCTCCTTTGATCTCATCTGTATACTCTATACACTAACCCCTCCCTTCATCTGATCTGTATACTCTATGCACTAACCCCTCCCTTGATGTCATCTGTATACTCTATACACTAACCCCTCCCTTCATCTGATCTGTATACTCTATGCACTAACCCCTCCCTTGATCTCATCTGTATACTCTATGCACTAACCCCTCCCTTGATCTCATGTGTATACTCTGTGCACTAATTCCTCCCTTGATCTCATCTGTATACTCTATGCACTAATCCCTCCATTGATCTCATCTGTATACTCTATGCACTAACCCCTTCCTTGATCTTATCTCTATACTCTATGCACTAACCCCTCCCTTGTTCTCATCTGTATACTCTATGCACTAACCCCTCCCTTGATCTCATCTGTATACTCTATGCACTAACCCCTCCCTTGATCTCATCTGTATACTCTATGCACTAACCCCTTCCTTGATCTCGTCTCTATACTCTATGCACTAACCCCTCCCTTCATCTCATCTGTATACTCTATGCACTAACCCCTCCCTTGATCTCATGTGTATACTCTGTGCACTTATTCCTCCCTTGATCTCATCTGTATCCTCTGTGCACTAACCTCTCCCTTGATCTGATCTGTATACTTTATGCACTAACCCCTCCCTTGATCTCATCTGTATACTCTATACACTAATCCCTCCCTTGATCTCATTTGTATACTCTATGCACTAACCCCTCCCTTGTTCTCATCTGTATACTCTATGCACTAACCCCTCCCTTGATCTCATCTGTATACTCTATGCACTAAACCCTCCCTTCATCTCATGTGTATACTCTGTGCACTAATTCCTCCCTTGATGTCATCTGTATACTTTATGCACTAACCCCTCCCTTGATCTCATCTGTATACTCTATGCACTAACCCCTCCCTTGATCTCATCTGTATACTCTATGCACTAACCCCTCCCTTCATCTCATCTGTATACTCTATGCACTAACCCCTTCCTTGATCTCGTCTCTATACTCTATGCACTAACCCCTCCCTTCATCTCATCTGTATACTCTATGCACTAACCCCTCCCTTGATCTCATGTGTATACTCTGTGCACTAATTCCTCCCTTGATCTCATCTGTATCCTCTGTGCACTAACCTCTCCCTTGATCTCATCTGTATACTTTATGCATTAACCCCTCCCTTGAACTCATCTGTATACTCTATACACTAATCCCTCCCTTGATCTCATCTGTATACTCTATGCACTAACCCTTCCCTTGATCTCATATGTATACTCTATGCACTAACCCCTCCCTTGATGTCACCTGTATACTCTATGCACTAACCCCTTCCTTGATCTTATCTGTATACTCTATGCACTAACCCCTCCCTGGATCTCATCTGTATACTCTATGCACTTACCCCTCCCTTGATCTCATCTGTATACTCTATGCACTAACCCCTCCCTTGTTCTCATCTGTATACTCTATGCACTAACCCCTCCCTTGATCTCATCTGTATACTCTATGCACTAATCCCTCCCTCGATCTCATCTGTATATTCTATGCACTAATCCTTCCCTTGATCTCATCTGTATACTCTATACAATAACCCCTTCCTTCATCTGATCTGTATACTCTATGCACTTACCCCTCCCTTGATCTCATCTGTATACTCTATGCACTAACCCCTCCCTTGTTCTCATCTGTATACTCTATGCACTAACCCCTCCCTTGATCTCATCTGTATACTCTATGCACTAACCCCTCCCTTGATCTCATCTGTATTCTCTATGCACTAACCCCCCCTTTGATCTCATCTGTATACTCTATACAATAACCCCTTCCTTCATCTGATCTGTATACTCTATGCACTAACCCCTCCCTTGATGTCATCTGTATACCATACACTAACCCCTCCCTTCATCTGATCTGTATACTCTATGCACTAACCCCTCCCTTGATCTCATCTGTATACTCTATGCACTAACCCCTCCCTTGATCTCATCTGTATACTCTGAGCACTAATTCCTCCCTTGATCTCATCTGTATACTCTATGCACTAATCCCTCCCTTGATCTCATCTGTATACTCTATGCACTAACCCCTTCCTTGACCTCATCTGTATACTCTATGCACTAACCCCTCCCTTGATCTCATCTGTATACTCTATGCACTAACCCCTCCCTTGATCTCGTCTGTATACTCTATGCACTAACCCCTCCCTTGATCTTATCTGTATACTCTATGCACTAACCCCTTCCTTGATCTCGTCTCTATACTCTATGCACTAACCCTCCCTTGATCTCATCTGTATGCTCTGTGCACTAATCCCTCCCTTGATCTCATCTGTATCCTCTGTGCACTAATCCCTCCCTTGATCTGATCTGTATACTTTATGCACTAACCCCTCCCTTGATCTCATCTGTATACTCTATACACTAATCCCTCCCTTGATCTCATCTGTATACTTTATGCACTAACCCCTCCCTTGATCTCATCTGTATACTCTATACACTAATCCCTCCCTTGATCTCATCTGTATACTCTATGCACTAACCCCTCCCTTGATGTCACCTGTATACTCTATGCACTAACCCGTCCCTGGATCTCATCTGTATACTCTATGCACTTACCCCTCCCTTGATGTCATTTGTATACTCTGTGAACTAATCTCTCCTTGGGTCAGTCCATTATTGCCAGCCAGGTAAATGCCGTCTGTAGGGGTACTGGGGTGTAGGGGTAATGGCATGTAGGGGTTATGGGGTACAATCACTGAAGAGCAATTCTAACCCTGATCTCCACGGGTTTTCACGTTTGTAACAACATTAGACAGTGGCAGATACAGCTTTTTGAGAAGGTGTGTGCGCGCGCACAGTTCATTTAACAATCTATCAGGACAAAAATGGTTGGTGGGTGGATCCTCCTATACTCTCTACATCAGGCGGGGAATTCGGGTGAGAATAGGTTTTCTTGGGCTGGCAAAATTACGGTTCAGACGTTGTGACGATGGTCGTATCTCTAACCTTCAGCGTCTGCTTTGTCTGGTCCACACAGGCTGATATACATTTCGTGTTATATTGCTTCTTGAGACATGAAGCATCACTCACTCATTCAGAACCCGCTCACACTTGCTCACTGGCTCTCTTCTCACGGAACCACCACCACCACCACCCCAACACTCTCTTTCCTGTCACGTCGAGTTGAGGGTCCGTGGTTCGAACCACTGGCCGCGTGATACTCACTCACTCACTAACCGAGTCTCGACTACACAATCCAGTGATTCATATCATGGGCCTCGATAGACACTTACTCACTCACTCTGTCAATATGGTAATGTACGAATCATGAATAGTATGAATGTGTGATTGAAAGGATTCGTTTTTTTTTGTATGTGTAATATTGTAAACTCGCTGATCCATGTTATTTATTGTAATGCTCAAAAAAATATATTGAATCCATTAAACTAATTTGTCCTAATATCCACCTTACACAATACGTAACACTGTGTAAACCTACATACACTTACAACGATATACATGTACTAAACAGAAGCGTGAGGGTTTCTCCCTCGGGAACAGGATCTCTGAAATAGCCATTGTTTATGTTAAAAAAACGAAATATGGTAGAGGGCAAGGGTGAAGTACTTTGTTCTTTATGAGACTTCGAGGGACATTTGACTCCAGTATCTGACCTACTCCTAAAGTGGCTTGCCGCTTCATCCGGAACATCACGTATTTCCGCCCGTCGCTGTACAACTTGAATGTCACGTATCAAATTACAGAGCTGCATTGTGTGCACCACCAAGGCGTTCGTCCATTGTGTAATCCCCTGACATGAAAACCCTGAAAAGTTGCTGAATAATACTATCTCCATCTTCTCGGACCAAGTTTACATTGCATGTATATAGCCTTGTGGTTAAAGCGTTCGCTCGTCACGCCTAAAACTTAGGTTCGATTCCCAGATGAGTATAATGTGTAAAGCCTATATCTGGCGCCCGGGCGTGATATTGATGGAAACTGAAAAACAGGTTGTTTTTTTTCCCTTTTCACGTACTCGTTAATGTTTACTACTCTTCTAAACAGTTAACATCCACTTCGGAGATATCGAATCTATGTTTGAGACTGAAACTGAAGACTCATTTGGTTCACTTCCTTACTGAACAGGAGGCGGTGGGGTAGCCTAGTGGTTAAAGCGTTGGTTCGTCACGCCGAAGACCCGGGTTCGAATCCCCACATTGGTACAATGTGTGAAGCCGATTTCTGGTGTCCCCCGCCGTGATATTGCTGGAATATTGCTAAAAGCGGCGTAAAACCAAACTCAGTCAGTCAACCTTAGTGAACACATAATTTGTGTGAGATCATTATCACTGCACATTATCTTATAATGTACCTAATGATCTAGCTCCTTATTCACTCACATTGTATTTCCCAAAGAGGAGCCTATTACCCATGCTGATGACGTCATAGATCATTAATTTGCCCATCTGTATTGCAACAATTTATCAAAATAAGTGGGTTTAGCGGTATTCCAGTTATATCGCGGTGTGTCGGCCTAATGATCGACAAAACCGATCAACATAATTAGGAGATAAGCGTACTGTGTTGGGAAATTAGATTAATGTTAGGCAGAATTGATAGTCTCTAAATTTCATTTGGAACCGAACGCGTAGCGTGAGGTTTCAAATGTCGGATAACACACCTGAGATATTTACACCCTTTGTTGAAACCCTCGAGCGCGGGGACGGTGCTGATAAACCTTGAAAAGTAATAGATAAATTTACAGTGTAAGTATTTTACTTTCAGTGTACCGTAGAGAGTACCGACCAACATGACTGAGATCTGTCCTCACTGTGGAGTAGGGTTCAAGCGTCTGGCATCTCACGAGTGGAGGTGCAAGGAAAAGAAAACATCATCCAGCCTCAAGTCTGGTTCCTCATTCAGTTCCAGCACACCCTCATCATCAGTGGTTGGCAGTTCGGGAACTGGGCGACATGACACTCCACGAGCAGGTAACAGTTCGGGAACTGGGCGACATAACACTCCACCAGCAGGTAACAGTTCGGGAACTGGGCGACATAACACTCCACCAGCAGGTAACAGTTCGGGAACTGGGCGACATAACACACCATCAGCAGGAAACAGTTCAGGAGCTGGGCGACATAGCACTCCGTCAGCAGGTAACAGTTCAGGAGCTGGGCGACATAGCACTCCATCAGCAGGTAACATTACCGGTGCCTGGCGGCCTACCACACCATCGGCGGGTAAGAGTTCAGGCACCCGGGGACACCCCAAACCATCAGATACATTAGGGAAAAGTACAGCAGGGCGATCCAGTGTATCGGACAGTGGTAGAAGACACAGCGACCCCAAACCAGCTGAAATAGTGGTCAAGATATGTCCTGACTGTGGCGCCAACTACAGACACAAACATGACGTCTGCCATTCTCGTGGGTCGGGGAAGCGGGAAGATAAAGCTGCCTATGACGTGAAGGAAGTATGCCCTGACTGTGGCCGGTCGTATAAATACAGCCACACGGTGTGTCGAGGAAGACAGAAGTCAAGTCCTGTCAGACATCACCGAGTGATGATTCCAAATCGGCCAAGTGATCCAACCAATCAACAATCAACACGTCACAACCATACGTCAAGACTAGGACAGTAAGTAATTGTTTTGTGTTTGTAATATACTTAAACCACAAGCAAGTATTGTGGTACGGCTGAATGTTTGAGACGTTTAACATATCACAAATCTGAAAAATATATTCGTATGTACCCACGGGAAATGGCACTTCCTTCATTTGGATGAAACAGTAAATATCGTACTAGTATTTGTTACATCGTGGTAGATGTTCCTCATCTTTCTATTTTCGATAAATATTTCTGAATATAGAAAATAAGTAAATAATTTTGCAATTCAAATAGGCAAATTACAGTTCATATATACAATATCAATAGTATATTTTATTACAGCTCGAGACCGCCTCCGTGGTGTAGTGGTTAGAGCGTCCGCCCGGAGAGCGGAAGGTCGCGGGTTCGATCCCAGGCCGCGTCATACCAAAAGACGTTGAAATATGGTACTTGTTGGTCTCTGCCTGACGCTCGGCATTAATGGGTACAACAAGGACTGGTCGGCTTGGAGTCAGTATAATGTGTCTGAGTGGGGTATTCATGCTTCACTGCGTCATGGTATCTCAGTGGGCTAGCACTATAACACCAGCTTCAGTCTGGGCTAGTACAAGCAGCCGCACATACACATACACACGCATACACGTCGTCATATGAGCGAAATATTCTCAAGCACGACGTTAAACCCAATTTCACCTCACCTATTACAGCTCGCTTGGAAAGGAAATTGGAAATGTGCAAGACTCCATGCACCATATTACATAAATGCAAATTGAAAAGGTTTCACAAAGTTTAAATAATTGGAAATACTCTGACTTGATTGTTTAGTTTATACTCCGTTTGCCGTCTAGTTTAATGCGAAATGAATGTTATGTGTACAGCCAGGGAAAAGAGGCATATGGATATAAGGACTATCTGGATGAATCTGAAGGTCTTGCTGCTGCTTTTGAAACAAGTGTGAATGTGAAAGAGACACATGCAAGACGGTGAGTTTTATCCCCAAAACGCGCTTGTAAAAGTTATTCATTATGTATGTAATGATGTCAAAACGTGGCTTGTTGAAGCTATTCAGTATTTGAGTAATGATGTCAAAACGTGGCTTGTTGAGGCTATTTAGTATTTGAGTAATGATGTCAAAACGTGGCTTGTTGAGGCTATTTAGTATTTGAGTTATGATGTTTAAACATGGCTTGTTGAATCTATTCACTATTTGAGTGGTGACGTCAAAACGTGGCTTGTTGAATCTATTCACTATTTGAGTAGTGACGTCAAAACGTGGCTTGTTGAAGCTATTCACTATTTGAGTAGTGACGTCAAAACGTGGCTTGTTGAAGCTATTCAGTATTTGAGTAATGATGTCAAAACGTGGCTTGTTGAATCTATTCAGTATTTGAGTAATGATGTCTAAACGTGGCTTGTTGAAGCTATTCAGTATTTGAGTAATGATATCAAAACGTGGCTTGTTGAGGCTATTTAGTATTTGAGTTATGATGTTTAAACATGGCTTGTTGAATCTATTCACTATTTGAGTGGTGACGTCAAAACGTGGCTTGTTGAAGCTGTTCACTATTTGAGTAGTGACGTCAAAACGTGGCTTGTTGAAGCTATTCAGTATTTGAGTAATGATGTCAAAACGTGGCTCGTTGAAGCTATTCAGTATTTGAATAATGTTGTCAAAACGTGGCTTGTTGAAGCTATTCAGTATTTGTGTAATAATGTCAAAACGTGACTCGTTGAAGCTATTGAGTATTTGTGTAATGATGTCAAAACGTGACTTGTTGAAGCTATTCAGTATTTGAGTAATGATGTCAAGACGTGTCTCGTTGAATCTATTCAGTATTTGAGTAATGATGTCAAGACGTGTCTCGTTGAATCTATTCAGTATTTGTGTAACGCTGTCAAGACGTGGCTTGTTAAGAGCTACTAGATATTTGTGTATGATGTCACAGCTGATCTAGGCTTTACTTTGGTACATAGATAGCTATATTATCCAACACACAGTAGAAATGTTGTACTAGAAACGGACGGTCTTCAATAATATACAAGATCAGACACTTGTAAAATATGCAGGTATGTGATGGAAAATATTGAAACCTTGATTTAACGTCCAAGATTACTTCCGTCCAACTCATAACTACCTAGGGAAAGAATGCATTTGTTCCCATTTAACAACGTTTTGTAGCCCAGCAGAGTGACGACTGTTTCCCCATTTCTTGTTCAACTGCAGCCACAGGAGGAACAATGCCTGCTACAATCGTGGTCTGAGTGAGGGCGACGCCTTGGCTGCTGCTTTTAAAGCAAGTCTCGATCTGAAGGAGGAAGACCCGTGAGTACCACTAGTACTTCAGCTGCCTAGCATGTCGCCATGGTTACCTTCACAATGCTGTTCTGAAATATTAAGTTTCCCTCACAAAGTTATTAACATGAAGGTTTCCAAGCAACAGTAGTATCGCAATACCCCGTATGTTTTCCGAGTATCAATGTGTTATCATTAACCATACCAAAGGGACTGATCCAAGCCTCAATTTAACTTACTATTTTGATAAACTGACCCACACGGAATAATTAAATGATAAATCTAAGAATGAAATACTCACGACTATTCGTAGCAGAATCCATTTTGTTACGCTGAGAACTATTGATGTTAACAAGTGCGGTCATGTTCAATATTTTAGCGTACAATCCTCAGGAAATCACACATGTATCAATAACCGAATACCATGTCAATATCTGATGAAACATCCACCATCTGCAACAACAGCCCTGGCCCTCTTCCTCCCTGACTGTATCAGACGTTGAATCTGACTTTGAAGCACTGCGTTCCATTCTTGATTGAGGGCTTGTCCCAGTACGTCAAGATTTTGTACTGGTGTGTCTCTTTGACATCTTCTGGGGGTGGTGGAGTAGCCTGGTGGTTAAAGCGTTCGCTCGTAACGCCGAAGACTCGGGTTCGAATCTCCATATGGGTACAATGTGCCCATTTCTAGTGTCCCCCTCCGTGATATTGCTGGAATATTGCTAAAAGCGGCGTAAGACTATACTCACTCACTCTAGAGAGCTAGACTCAAGGCGGGCCAAGGTAGAATTGCTACCGCCTGTTGGTGTAGGAAGTCACCACAGGGCACCTGCATGACGTCACCTAACATTATCGTCTATGAAGACTGGCCTTGTGTTCAGAGGATGGTCATTGAAATGTGGTACAACAACAGTGTCTAGGATGTCAGTGATGTACCGTTGTGATCTGTGGCGCCAAACAATCATATTCAAACATAAATTGCAGATCTAGTACAGTATTTTAGTCATCTTCATGTTTGCTTCGGATGGGTTGGTGACTAAAAATAAATATGATATTGGGTCGGTTTGGGGTCCTTCTAACAAATATTCATCTAAAACATCAAAGTGGCATTGCCATTTATATAGTCAAAGTAATCCTTATGTTCGACGGATCGGCAAGACCAAATGTATTTACTTGTTGTAATTCTTAATTTTTGTGTTTTTTAAAGATGGTAGACTGACATGGGGCGATATCACCATGGAGGACCCGACATCAGGTCATATGAACTACACTTTTACCGGAACTAGAATTGAAGATTGACATCTGCCTGCATCAGGGTCAACACGGAGCTTGAACGACGACACCATTCTGCAACAGTAACAAGGACTTGCGGGAGCAAGAAATGTCTGATTCTTCATCCATTCTCTCCATGGGATTGCTCAGTACAACCACAGACACACAGACCTTCGCTAAAACCATGACTTTATTGTTTAACAAACAAACAATAAAAACAAACAACATTCCAGGGTATGGCGGCTGTCAGTAATTAACATCAGTGATCAACATCATGATCATCGACCTACGCAACTGGGATACGATGACATTTCCTGCTAGAGGCATATGTTTATATTATTATTATTGTAGGATATTTATATAGCGCACATATCCACGCACTAGTGCATGCTCAAGGCGCTGGTATTTTTTCCCTCGATCATTGGATGTCAATCTCAACGCCACATCGCATTATGAATCTCAACTCCCTGGGGAGTATACAATTCTTGCTACCACTAGGCTCACCGAGTTATTGTGGCTTTCTCATCCTAACGAGGTACCCATTCACAGCTGGGTGGACTGGGACACATAGTCACAGTACTTTGTCCATGTTCACTGCACGTTGCTGTACCCGCAACTAGGCGTTTGCACGTATTCATGTGGTCAAATACCAACGGATTCGTGGGTTCTTTTAAGTGCACAGGGTTGTGTACTGTACACTAGGGGTTGTGACAACACTGAAAGAGTCTGCACACAAAGTTGACTCCACGGTCACAGGTGGGCTCGATCCCGACACCTCAACCCCGCTCGATCACTAGCCTGGCGCCTTAGCCAGCTCGCCCACCGCGCCCCGCACACCAAGCAACCATTGATGCAGTAGGCAACATGTAACAGGACTATGTATATCAAACAAACAGCATGTGGGAATTTCCCCAAATTATACTGCTTTTACTACTTTAGTTTAGACCAAAAAAATCTTAAATGAAAATAAAAGTAAAGTTATTGCAAACAACTTTCCTAAATTGTATGAGTCGTTACTACTTGAGAGATTTCAAACAGAAACGACAAATCTCTTTCCACATCTGTAAATCTCTGCTAAAAGCAGAGTCGATTGTACAAATCTGACTATATTATCAGCATGTGTTTGGTTTACGCCGAAATCAACAGTAAGAAAGGTATAATACTCTATGGATGGCAACTGCATTCATCGGTATTGCAGTATTAGCGTATTATGTGGTCTGTGAACAAATCGAGTCTGGGCCAGACAAACCAGTGACTGACACCATGAGATACGATGGCTGAGCATGTGCTTATGAGCACTGACAAATACTGCTGACACCAGGTGTTCGCGAAAAGGCGAGTGTATCGTGCCCCATCGGTGGCACACGTCATAAACACGTGCAAAGGCTAGTCAACAATCAACTGTTCAAGACACATGCTTACTATGTCGGTATCGTACAAAACATTCTGCTTTTAGCAGAGGCTTTTGATAGTTATAGAAATTGTTTAATATGACATGAATGATACCAAGAAATAACCCTGGCTGGTGCACGTAATAAGAGTGAGTGAGTGAGTTTAGTTTTACACCGCTTTTAGCAATATTCCAGGAATATCACGGTGGGGGACACCAGAAATGGGCTTCACATGTTGTACCCAAGTGGGGAATCGAACCCGGTCTTCGGCATGACGAGCGAACGCTTTAACCACTAGGCTACCCAACCGCCCCTCACGATATAAGATGAAACTGGGACTGGTCAGCTCGGAGTCAACATTCTGTGTGTGAGTGGGGTATCAATGTAAAACTGTCAGTGTACAATAATGGACAATACCCCGGTTTACCCTAGCTGCCTGTAGGCCACAAGAAGGTTAACAGTCACGTGTCTTATCCATGAACAGAGGCAAGTTTGAACAAACTCACAGTTGCCTGAGGTGAGGCTACATGTGTCACGTGGGCATCGTTGTGGGAAGGACTGAAGTCCTGGAAACTCTCAGGAGTCAAGGTCGTGACAAACACGGTTACAAACATACAAACATGGATGGATGGATGGATGGATGGATGTACAATGTCTTCCGGTAACAAGTTGACTGTCAACTGTTGACTGTTGCTGTCACAATATGTCCTCATTGAAGAGCAGTAAACAAAAGCTTCTCATCCACAAACTTGTATGTTTTCCTAAAAAAATGTGTTTGTTTAGTAACGCCGTATTTAGCAAAGTTCCAGATCGGTGACACAGCAAAAGAAGTGACGACAAATATGTACAAAGCCCATAATATCCTTACATACCCTTCCCGATCTATGACTTAATAAAATATGAAATGACGACAAATATGTTCATTACTCCAAGTCTCCTTTTTTATACCTGGGAGTGCATGACCCATGGTTCATGGGCGGATCAAGGAATTCTCAAAGGGGGCATTCAGGTATTCGAACATTTTGACTCTTTCACTCTTTCACTCCCCTCCCCCCCTCCCTTCCTGGATCAACCAGTGCAGTCAGTGGAAGGCAAAGCCAGTGAATATGTATTGTGATGTCAACTTAAACACCTTTTACATATCGCCACCCCACATATCTTTCCAGGAATTCTATTTTCTCTTTTGTTCATCTTTTCCTGGAACACGCTTCGGAACTGCCTCGTGGCTAAACTTTACCTATATAATATTGATCTCGTCAGATACGATGACATGTGTCAACCAAGACCACACGATGCCGTTAGTTGCCATGGGTTACTGAAAACCCATTCTATCCCTGACAATCACGGGTTCACGTGGTGTCATTTGAAATGAGTCACCAAAAGTATCGAAGACATGAAGCCTATAATCACACACGTACTGCAATTATCTAAATGTGAAAAATACCCAGTATTTTATCAGAGGCTTAACTTAATGTTAGCTTAGAGATGCAGTTGTGAGAACAATACGTTCTTCAAATATCTAGTGTATGTTATCCTCCTTTATTTATGGTTTTGTTTGGGAATCTCAAGGTGATTTAAAGATGGAATGATTCTAAGATGAATTCTTTGGTTAAAGAGTGTTGTACTCAAACGAGTTATTTTGAGGCGCCGAGTTACTCAAAACTAGAATTATATTGAATGTTAAATAGTTCAGTGGCATAAGAGCCACTCATGTTAAGGAGAAATTGAAAAGAAAATAGACGAATGCTTAGTCACTTGAGGATTGGTAAACGTATAGTTATGCTTAAAGTAGGGAGAAGAACAGTCATCGACACGGTGACAAGCCGTGAAAGCCACATTTCAAAAATGACTATTGCCGGGAAGGCCACATTTCAAATACATGGCTGTAGCCAGTAAAGCCACATTTCCAACAGATTAATTAATTAATGGATTACCGTAACCGGTAAAAGAGTGTCCCCATGCTATTTTCAGATAGCAGTAAGTCCTTGTCGAGTGAAGGTGAGTTTTTAAAAATCTTATAATATTGTCCTTTAGATGAATTATTCATTTCACTGGTAGGTTGAATAGGTTGTCTTCCAAGTTCTCCATACACCATAAAGTTCAGGGTGTTATATCTAAGACCGGTAGCTAATTTAAGGAATTTAAGATGAACAGTTCAATGACATAGCAATACCGGTAAAAGACTGTCCCTAGATTAAAATTAATCTAACTGATTAATCTAACAATAACCTAAAGGATGGTACAATAAGGTAAAGAGACTTTTCCAGAAGTGTCACCCTAACATTTACGAGATAGTAAAGCTATTTCAGCGTGGGCAGTCTCTCACAGAGGTTGCTGTCCTGAGACTACCTTAACGAAGAAAGAAATACAGAACCATTGACGCTCGTATTGCACCACTGAAGACCAAGCTTCTGAACCAACACCTGAGTGACATGGAGTATACGGATCATGTGGGCGACCTCCTTCATTTGCAGTAGGGTGTGTGAAATAGAATGTTCTGTGATCTTACGCCATTTTATCTGTTTTTACACATGGCAACAAACTAAACCATTATCATTATTATTATGTTTTGCAGATAAAGATTTATCATTATTTTGTGATATTATTATTACATGTAATATACCTATTAGTATATTATATTGTGCTAGTTATAGAAACCAAACCTGTTGTTATCTGAATAAAATTATGAGGAAACATGTCTTGTTTTGTTAGATACGGTAACGTGTTTGAATCACTAAGCATGTTTTGACAGCATAGCCGGGAGAGCCACATTCCATGTTCACGCAACCGTAACTATTGCCGGGATAGCCACATCAATTTAGGCTATCTGTTTCGGAAATGTGGCTCTCCCGGCCTGTAAACATCGACACGACGTTTTCTTCATTATGTAACGTAACCATATTAGTTCAGTTACATCACGGACTATATAAGGGTGGGTATGGCGATGACACACACAGAGACAACCAAGAGATTCATCATAGGCTCCTGGCGTGTCAACCACGGATGGATGATAATAAATCGACAAGAAGATGGAGGGCGCGGGCTATGCACAGGTAAATTTCTGGGAAACATAGATTGCTGTTCCTGGAATTCATTGAAAGCGGACGTACCGAGACGCAAGGTAAGGTCTTGCTGCTGTTCCTTCGTTCGTTCGTTCGTTAGTTCGTTCGTTAGTTAGTTCGTTCTTTCTATTCTCTTCGTTTGTTGGTTCGTTGGTGTGAATTATGTGAATTCCTACAGGTTCACATTGTGTCCACAGTGATCCCTCTCAGGTAGTACTAATTCCTACATGTTCACATTGTTTCCACAGCGATCTGTATGAGGTAGTACTAATTCCTACAGGCTCACACTGTTTCCACAGTGATCTCTATGAGGTAGTACTAATTCCTACAGGTTCACACTGTGTCCACAGTGATCTGTATAAGGTAGTGTTAATTCCTACAGGTTCACACTGTGTCCACAGTGATCTGTATGAGGTAGTGTTAATTCCTACAGGTACACACTGTGTCCACAGTGATGTGTATGAGGTAGTACTAATTCCTACAGGTTCACACTGTGTCCACAGTGATCTGTATGAGGTAGTACTAATTCCTACAGGTTCACACTGTGTCCACAGTGATCTGTATGAGGTAGTACTTATTCCTACAGGTTCACATTGTGTCCACAGTGATCTCTATGAGGTAGTACTAATTCCTACAGGTTCACATTGTGTCCACAGTGATCTGTACGAGGTAGTACTAATTCCTACAGGTTCACACTGTGTCCACAGTGATCTCTATGAGGTAGTACTAATTCCTACAGGTTCACACTGTGTCCACAGTGATCTGTATGAGGTAGTACTAATTCCTACAGGTTCACACTGTGTCCACAGTGATCTCTATGAGGTAGTACTAATTCCTACAGGTTCACACTGTGTCTACAGTGATCTGTATCAGGAAGTATTAATTCCTACATGTTCACACTGTGTCCATAATGATCTGTGCGAGGTAGTACTAATTCCTACAGTTTCACATTGTGTCCACAGTGATGTGTATGAGGTAGTACTAATTCCTACAGGTTCACACTGTGTCCACAGTGATGTGTATGAGGTAGTACTAATTCCTACATGTTCACATTGTGTCCACAGTGATGTGTATGAGTCAGTACTAATTCCTACAGGTTCGCACTGTGTCCACAGTGATCTGTATGAGGTAGTACTAATTCCTACATGTTCACACTGTGTCCACAGTGATGTGTATGAGGTAATATTCATTCCTACAGGTACACATTGTGTCCATAGTGATCTGTATGAGGTAGTACTAATTCCTTCAGGTTCACATTGTGTCCTCAGTGATCTGTACGAGGTAGTACTAATGCCTACATGTTCACACTGTGTCTACAGTGATATGTACGAGGAAGTACTAATTCCTACAGGTTCACATTGTGTCCACAGTGATCTGTACGAGGTAGTACTAATGCCTACAGGATCACACTGTGTCTACAGTGATCTGTATCAGGTAGAATTGATGCCTAAATGTTCACATAGTTGCCGGGATAGCGACATCAATTTAGGCTATCTGTTTCGGAAATGTGTCTCTCCCGGCCTGTAACCATCGACACGACGTTTTCTTCATTATGTAACGTAACCATATTAGTTCAGTTACATCACGGACTATATAAGGGTGGGTATGGCGATGACACACACAGAGACAACCAAGAGATTCATCATAGGCTCCTGGCGTGTCAACCACGGATCGATGATAATAAATCGACAAGAAGATGGAGGGCGCGGGCTATGCACAGGTAAATTTCTGGGAAATATAGATTGCTGTTCCTGGAATTCATTGAAAGCGGACGTACCGAGACGCAAGGTAAGGTCTTGCTGCTGTTCCTTCGTTCGTTCGTTCGTTCGTTCGTTCTTTCTATTCTCTTCGTTTGTTGGTTGGTTAGTGTGAATTGTGTGAATTCCTACATGTTCACATTGTGTCCACAGTGATGTGTACGAGGTAGTACTAATTCCTACATGTTCACACTGTGTCCACAGCGATCTGTATGAGGTAGTACTAATTCCTACATGTTCACATTGTATCCACAATGGTCTGTACGAGGTAGTACTAATTCCTACAGGTTCACACTATGTCCACAGCGATCTGTATGAGGTAGTACTAATTCCTACAGGTTCACACTGTGTCCACAGTTATCTGTATGAGGTAGTACTAATTCCTACAGGTTCATTTCGTGTCCACAGTGATCTGTATGAGGTAGTACTAATTCCTATAGGTTCACATTGTGTCCACAGTGATCTCTATGAGGTAGTACTAATTCCTACATGTTCACGTTGTGTCCACAGTGATCTGTACGAGGTAGTACTAATTCCTACATGTTCACACTGTGTCCACAGTGATCTGTATGATTTAGTGTTAATTCCTACAGGTTCACACTGTGTCCACAGTTATCTGTATGAGGTAGTACTAATTCCTACAGGTTCATTTCGTGTCCACAGTTATCTGTATGAGGTAGTACTAATTCCTACATGTTCACACTATGTCCACAGTGATTTGTATGAAGAAGTACTAATTCCTACAGGTTCACATTGCATCCAGTAATCTGTATGAGGTAGTATTAATTCCTACAAGTATAAGCAAGTATGTACAGGTTTTCTACATTTACACCTCTTAGTGAAAAATGTCCCAAACGTACATTTTTAAAAGAACAACATTTTCAATAAACATCTTACCCACGTGTGTTGTCGTATAGTGTGACATATTATGGATATATATAATCATATGTGCTTAGCAGGACTTTTTTACCGAACTGAATCATACTCGGTCATTGACTCTGTTAATGAGAACACAGTGAGTGTATAAAGCCATGTTTACTTTACAGTGGTCAGGATAACCAAGAGCAACGCGCATCATGAGCTTTGTGGTGATGCAACGGTGTCCAGATTGTGGTGGGACTTTCAAGGACATATCAAACAACAGAATCTGCCATAGCCGAGGTTCAGGGAAACATGCAAGCAAACCTTCTGTGGTCCTAAAGCAAGTCTGTCTTGATTGTGGTCGAGATTTTTTGAACCTCGCAAATCACAAAGTATGTCATGGAAGAGGGGCAGGAAACAGGCGGACATCTTATCCACTGGAAGCGGTTCCTTGGTTGGCGCCCACACAGACCTACATTGACTATGTTCAGGGGAACGCTGATTCCACGCCCAGGCCACCTCGTGACTCAGGACATGGTCAAACTAACCACCAGGATACACCACCCCCTACTACCCCACCTGTACAAAGTTTGACACCACCCCCTACGCCCCCTTCCTCCAACACAGAGAGACGAACACCTGCCCAACAGTAAGTTTTATGTATAAACAAGCATCGCCTTCACGAGTTATTCTGGTCGGGTGTCGCAATAGCCTAAGGGAGTTGCCTCCCTGATGGATTTCACCCAAATGGTAAAAGATATGTTTTCGGGCCTTAAAAAATGTCTGAAGATTTAATATCAAGAGCAAAACAGTTCCACTCATGGGCTGCTAGCAAAAGCAAAAGAGCGTTTATATGACGAGAATGTACTGATCTCCTAAGCATGGGTTAACGACTTGGTTGTGTTGTAATATACGAAAACAGTTCTTGACAACCTTTTACATCGGTTTTTTTTCTGACACATTCTAGCCAATACTTTAAAGTAAGCCAACCAAAAACTTGCAGAAATGAAGTCGTATAAACACAACTTTCTAAATCATCTGGTTAGCATGGATGTTCCAGTTGTCTACGGGCGCCCCAATTAGTTGTAAAGTGTTGCGTCCCTTCGCCACGCCAGGAACCAGTCATCTTGACTCTGAATCGTGGGTCGCATCCATCATCTCTATACATTTGTCAGTGCTATACCCATGCTTGTGGTTTCCCTTAAGTGGTAAACACGTGAAGCATGCATTACATTTAGCTTTTCTCCAACACTAAGCTTTAATACTGTTCAAGGCTGTGTAATACTCAATTCATTCACTTATTCAAGCTGTTACTTTTCGAACGATTTCAAAAGTTCTGTTTTTTAACAATTCTTGAAGAATCCTTATAAAATTCAGTAATTCACAATAAGTGATGATGTCCTATATTTAATGACACCTCTTGGGGGAGGATGCTATTGAAGGTGATATTTGTGTTACGGAAGTTGGAGAGGTCGCAACAGTTACAACGGTAGTCTCAGTAATGAGGATGCTCTTGCTGTTGCTATTGCTGCAAGTCTGAAGCCAGAGGAGGCAGATCTTGGAAGGCCATTGAGGTCAGTGTATTCTCATCCACAGAAACATTGTTTTGTTTGTTGTTTAACACCGCACTCGGCAATATTCCAGCTATAAATAATCGAGGCTGAACCAGACAATCCAGTGATCAACAGCATCGATCAGTTGGGATACGATGACATGTGTCAACAAAGTCAGAGAGACAGCCACCCGATCCCGTTAGTCGCCCGTTAGTTGCTGAAGACCCTTTCTAACCCGGGTCTTCAGGAGGCAGAACATTGGGACCAGAACAGAATCCGTGCAAAGATAAAAGCGACTAATATATGACTGGAGCTGACCTTTATTGAATTGCAACTTTAATAAGAGACACTTGCCTTCAAATAAGAAACAATTGCCTTTCAAATAGGAAACAATTGCCCTCAAATAGGAGACACTTGCCATTAAATAGGAGCCATTTGCTTTCCAATGAGAGACACGTGCCTTCAAATAGGAGACACTTACCTTCTAGAATAAGAGACACTTGCCTTCAAATAGGAGACACTTGAACTTTAAATAGGAGACACTTGCCAACTAATAAGAGACACTTGCCTTCAAATAGGAGACACTTGCCATCATCAAATAGGAGACACTTGTCTTCAAATAGGAGACACTTGCCAACTAATAAGAGACACTTGCCATCAAATAGGAGACACTTGCCATCATCAAATAGGAGACACTTACCTTCAAAAGGAGACAATTGCCTTATCAATAAGAAACACCTTTTAATAAGCCATGTAAGCAGGACTATGAAGGGTGTCTGTATTTGTCCTTGTAGTTCTCTCTATTGACCTGTCCTTGAATATTATGTTGGGAGTTCCTTCAGCCATAACAACACCACACATGCCGGATCCAACACCCAACCTCGCATGAAGCCTCATTCTGACATTGGCTGGACGTTCGTCTCGGCATCGAGAGAATCGGAGAAACACGAAACCTGACCAACAATGATTGCCCCAGTTTCACCATATGTTGGCAATAACGATTTGTGGCACAACACGTGGCCTTCGAGCATGGAGATGAACTGCATGTAGACGATTTCAGATCGTCTGTCCCGTAACTTGTACTCAAGTTGTGTAGTGTCACGTCAATATGTTTACATGGTGTAGCACATGATTACGGCTACCGAAGCTATCTATATAATCTATAAATAGTTGTCTCCTTTCTTTATAATTTTCAGTATTAGATGTGTAAACTGCTGGTGTCATTGTGCACAAAGTGCACGAGCCACGCGCGACTTCCAATTTCATGCAAAGTCAGGGGCGTAGCTACCATTATAGTAAACAGCCCTGGGGTTCGTTGTTCAAAACAACCCTAGCTAAGGTCAACCTTAAACACTAAGGTTAGAGTTACGATCACCATAAGAAAAAGTTACGCCTGTTGCACAAAACAATCTTAGGGCAACCTTAAGGCGGACTCGAACCTTAGCCGTAAACTTAACTAAGGCTGAACTCTTGAGCGCTGGAGTTACGGAAGCGTCCCTAGTTACCACGTGAATTATCTCCCCTGCTCGCACCTGCAGACGACAACAATGTCAATGTCCCAGCGGAAGCGCAATCGGCATTCAAACTTTTCTCCTTTCGAGATAAGTTTGATAGCTGACGAGGTGAAGGCGCAACAGAGTGTTTTGTTCGGCCCGTTTTCATCAACAGTAACCAACACGGCCAAAATACGTGAATGGGTTGTATCGCGGCATTCATGGTATCGCGGCAAACGGTATTTCGGGTTTTCCGCTCGAGACACGCCTCCTAGCGGTGATTTGCATATGTAAATCGACAGCCAGACGTCAGTCGCTTGTTTACTTTTTAGAAACCAGCAGGATGTAACGATTCTTCGTAAACATTATGCAGCAGAAATATTAACATTAAACTCTTGAATCTAATGGAATCTGTCTGAACCCCATTCATCAAATACACGCTATAATATTTATGTGTCGTATATGACCCTACCCACTCGATCTGAACTAGGTCGTCTTCATCTCATTTTTGCCATATAAGGTAGCGGAAGTGACGTCATGAGTTTATTTATTTCCCGGTGAATACCAAAAGTTGTAATTCAAATAAGGACACAAAACGTAAAAATGATCCCTGTTCACTGAAAACGATTTTGCACACTCTAACAAACTAGAAATTTAGAAAGGATTATATTATACTGTTGTTCACATAATTATTTATTCATATTATAACATTATTTCAAATAATATTTTGCATTGAAATATTGTTGAAATCATGCCTGAAATAAAACAAAAACAAAACAGTATGAACAAATATTAAGAAAATCATGATAAAAAAGATGTGTTTTGGAAGTTTGGTGATTTTCTTGAATAAAATTTCATAATGGATACAGTTTTGTGCACCTTCGATGACAAAAAATACCTCGACTTATTTCACATTAAGGTGAGTTAAACAATTTCATTTTTTGTTCCCTACTTCGCCTTGCAATCCGAGTTTTAGTGTTTACTGCGATACGATGGAGTTCTATCCTTTGGTAAATATTAACCGGCTTCGTTCGTTTAATGTCTCTCGCTGACACACTATCAAAGTTAAAATAATATTCTTTTCACAAATGTGTTGATTAAATGTGATGTTAATCGGATTTAATAATAACATAGGCCTTAAAAGTTTCATTTACGATCACGGATGTATTGTATGACCCAAATGACATAAAAAAAATAATAGCACATTTTACTTATTAGAAAAATCACAGCAAACTTGTGCCCACCATGTGTCAAGATTTTATATTCCAAACTTTGTCCAGGTTTCCATGACCTGTATGAACCCTGTATAATATAAGTGAATATCAATCATATAAACAAAGAGATTTACATTTATTTATTTTTTTACTTATTTTAAGACTAAACGCCTGTTCGTCCGTCCAGAGATCTGAAGCCCAGATACGGAAGAAATGGAACGATTCACCACACAAAATGACTGTATTAACCAAATTTACTAACGTCATGAAATACTCGTTTCATCCGGCGGCCATATGAACAACGATTGAAATCTACGTATCATCTGGCCGTCAGATTTACACACGTTTAAAGGGGTGTTAAAAAAACGAACATTCAACTCTGCATTTACATGTTTTTCACAGGTGTGTAAATCAGGCCATTGTTTCCATGTGTTTCTTAACATGTGTAACATATGTAAATGCTGTGATTGTAGGACATGCATTTCAATACCCTTGAAATCTCGTATGACCAGGTTTAGGTTTCATATATTTAGTACATGCGTAAATGGTTGGAAATGGGTAAATATAGTGTTACAAGATTAGCACTACTTTAACATGTATTTCAATGGTTCTGTAATGTAACTGTCACATAGGGTTCGTTAGCGGGTCCGACCACGCCATAATGTACTAAGATAATTAGAAACACATGGTGAAGTGATACCCATGACTAAAAACCACTAATAACGTGCGTGTCTTTCTGACATACACATGGTGTCTGTTTGACAGGTTCCAATATCGGGTCTATGGGCCAGAGCGATATGTATGTTAGGGAGTGTGTGTGTGTGCGAGGGAGACGGTGTGGCATGGAATAGGCCTAGGGTGGGGTGGTGGCGGTGGGTCGGTGTTGGGGTACTGATAAGTCTTTCTGACCAGTAGGTAATATCGTTTATACTTTTTGTAATGGAAATTACATAACAGTTTAAATAACTGACCTCAGGTACACTTATTATTTATGCTATACAAGGAGACACTGCTAATTACAATAAAACACAGACAGGTGTGTTCACAAAGACATGAATCGGTAGGTCCCTAATTTTAGTGCTCACTTGTATGAGTTATCCGACTGATCATAACTGAACAAATCTCATTATCTATACTTTCATAAAAGATGATTACAATGTATTAATGATTCCCGGTGTAAATTACTGTTGAAATTGTGTGAACATGCACATACTTGGTATGACCTCTTTTTGATTCGGTATAAAGGTATTATTCCATACGGACGTTTTCTCAAATTTCAGTTACCCGACGGAATATACTGTAGACATATTTTGTTTCCACCTCTTGGGTAGACTAAAGAAAATTGTAGTGATTGCAATTAGCTCATAATTTTCATAATAGACCTATTTT